GTTATTTACACATATTATTAAAAGGAATTAATTTTCTTCATGTTTTCCAATGTTTAACCATTGTCTTTTATGTGTAGTAGTGATCCAATTTTTTTTTGTGGTGAAAATATTCTTACGCTTAAGGGGCAATAAAACAATTAGGATTGGTCAGAGAAAGGGGAAGGAAGGAGGTCTTTGTTCTTATCTTTTTATAACCTCTGTATCTTCTCAGAGCTATCTCCATTTTTGTGTATTGTGTGGGCATGTGTGTTTTTGCTAGTATGTGTATGCATATTCCTTCTCCATATATATATATATATATATATATATATATTGTTTTATCATAAGGAATTAGCATGTATATATATATATATATATATATATATATACACACACACTTATATATACACACACTTCGTATGTTGTGTAGAGTTTGTGTGTGGCTAATCTATTGTGTTTGTTTTTGCCAGTATGTTTATATATATTCATTCTCTATAGATACTTGTGTGTATGTAAGTGTAATGCAAATACTGTATTTGGCCATTATATATATATATATATATATATATATATATATATATATATATATATATAGTATTAATATAAGTAAAATTTTGTCACTTATCTGATTGATGTTACCTTCAATATCCCAACTCCAGAGTTTCATAAAGCTGTCCATCCACTCTTCAGGGAGTATCAGAAATTTACTGCTTATATTTTTTTCTTTTGTTATGCAATTATCATTGGTGTAAGTTTTTGCCATATTGCTTGTGTTTGTGTGTGCGTTTGCACATGTGCAGTCATGTGCCTGTCTGTGCAGGTGTGCGTTCACACGATTGCACCCATCTGTGCAGATGTATGTATATGTAGGGTGTTGTGATCATTTGTCCTTTAATATATATATACATTAGTTCCTGAAAAAAATTCATTTGGTTGAGCACTAGGGAGAAAGTCTTAATTTGTAAACAGTGACTGCTACTGCTGATAATGCAAAACTCTCCGAATGGATTGAGTTCTCTGGGTCACTGACATGTTTATGAAAAAATAAATATGTAAAAATTTGCCTGAAGCGATTGGGTGTCTAGCCACACTGATGAGCTGTGATTCAGCAAAACAGGCTTGTATGTGGATGACTATATATATATATATGTATATATATATATATGTATAATAATCTAATACTTTATTTTTTATTTCCTTTTGAATTTAACTGCATGTTTATTCTGATGTTATTTGCATGTCTAAAAATCTTTACAGCATTTGTATTCTTTTATCTTTTATTTGGCAGCACCCTTCTCTCTTTCTCTTTTGTTCTCTTTGCCTTTCACTCTCTCTTCCCCTTCCTTTTTTCACACTCTCTCTACCTTCATCATCTTGTTCTCTTCTCATCTATTTCTCTCTTCCCCTCTGTCTTTCGTCCTCTGTCTTTTTCTTCCTCTCTCTCTCTCTTCTCCTTTTTAAAATCTACTTTATTCTCCCTGTCTTTCTTTTACTATCAGGCCTATTTCTGAGAGGCTTCTCGGCCATGATGCTTTAGAAGGTTCTCTTGTTTTAACCTTGGCTATTATTAAATTTTTGATCATCAAATATAACAAGCACGATAGAGATTTTATTCCGTCTAGCAAATGCTATCCTGATCTCTACATTCATTAATGCATACATAACAAAGGCTGTTACCCAGTAGTGGTTGTGTTTATGACATGCCAAACTTTGTTGGCTTATTTAATGCTAAATCTTATATGAGTGCTCGGTGATGATGAAATTCACTAAATATTACTCTATGCTGAAGTACAAGCAAATGATTTTGCTATCAAAATATATTTCTAGTGATTTCTACCATGAAAATGAACTGTACCTGTTTTTTTTATGAAAATATTGAAAATTTTATTGAAAATGATTTTTTACTATGAAAATGCATTGCATGATTTTAATATAAAAATATTGAAAAGCATTGGATATGATCTTTACTATAAAATGCATTGCATGTGAATTTATTATGAAAAAGCATTGGAAATGATATTTAGTATGAAAATGCATTGCATGTGATTTTATTATGAAAATGCATTGGAAATAATTTTAATATAAAAATTGCATGTGATTTTACTATTGTAAATGATTGAAATTTTTACTATAAAATTCATTGAAATGATTTTTACTATGAAAATGAACTGTTGAAAATGTTTTTTTTTACTATGAAAATTCATTGCAAATGATTTTATGACTATGAAAATGATCTTTACTATAAAAATGCATTTGATTTTATTATGAAAATCATTGGAAATAATTTTAGTATGAAAATGCTTGCATGATTTTACTAAAAATGCATTGGAAATGATTTTAATATAAAATTCATTGGAAATTTTCTACCATTTGAACTGTACCTGTTTTTTTATGAAAATGCATTGAAAATGATTTTTTACTATGAAAATGCATTGCATTTTTGAAATTTTTTACTATAAAAATATAAAACTATAAAATGATGGAAATGATTTTTACTATAAAATGTATGTGCTTTTACTATAAAATGTATGAATATGGAAAATTTTATTTGGAAATGATTTTTACTATAAAATGTATGGAAATGATTTTTACTATAAAAATGTATGGAAATGATTTTTACTATAAAAATGTATGGAAATGATTTTTACTATAAAAATGTATGGAAATGATTTTTACTATAAAAATGTATGGAAATGATTTTTACTATAAAAATGTATGGAAATGATTTTTACTATAAAATGTATTGATTTTTACTATAAAATGTATTTTTTTACTATAAAAATGTATGGAAATGATTTTTTTTCTATAAAATGTGTAAATGATTTTACTATAAAAATGCATTGGAAATGATTTTTACTATGAAAATGTATTGGAAATGTTTTTTTTTCCTATGACAATGCATTGCAAATGATTTTACTATGAAAATGCAATGCATTTGAAATGACTATCCTTTCCTCTGATAAAATGCATTGGAAATGATTTTCCTATGAAAATGCATTGCAAAGAATTTTACTTTGACAATACATTGCAAATAAGCCCACTATGAAAAGGCATTGCATGTAATTATGAAAATGCATTGGAAATGATCTTTACTATGAAAATGGATTGCATGTGATTTTAGTATGAAAATGCATTGGAAATGATTTTTACTATGAAAATGCATTGCATGTGAATTTAGTATGAAAAAGCATTGGATATGATCTTTACTATAAAAATGCATTGCATGTGATTTTATTATGAAAATGCATTGGAAATAATTTTAGTATGAAAATGCATTGCATGTGATTTTACTATGTAAATGCACTGGAAATGATTTTAATATAAAAATTCATTGGAAATGATTTTTACTATGAAAATGCATTGCAAACGATTTTATTATGAAAATTCACAGCATGTGAATTTAATATGAAAATGGATTAGAAATCATTTGTATTATGAAAATGCATTGAATGTTATTTTATTATGAAAATGCATTAGAAATGATTTCACTATGAAAATGTATCGCATGTGATTTTATAATGTAAATGTATTGGAAATGATTTTATAATGAAAATGATTGAAAATGATTTCATTATTAAAATTCATTGGAAATGTTTTTTAGTATGAAAATGCAATGCATGCAATTTTAGTATGAAAATGCATTGGAAATGATTTTACTATGAAAATGCTTTTCATGTGATTTAGTATGAAAATGCATTGGAAACGATTTTTACTATGAAAATGCATTGCATGTAATTTTAGTATGAAAATGCATTGCAAATGATTTTATTATGAAATAGCATTGGAAATGATATTTACTTCAAAAATGCATTGCATTTAATTTTTGTATGAAAATACATTGGAAATGATTTTATGATGAAAATATATTGCATGTGATTTTACTACTAAAATGCATTGGAAATGATCTTGCGATGAAAATGCATTGCAAAGAATGTTACTATGAAAATACATTGCAAAGAATGTTACTATGAAAATACATTGCAAATAAGTTCACTATGAAAAGGCACTTCATATGATTTCAGAATGAAAATGCATTGCAAATGATTTTACTATGAAAATATACTGGAAATTATTTTACTATGAAAATGCATTGCAAATGATTTTACAATGAAAATGTATTGCAAGTAAATCTTACCATGAAAATGCATTGCAAATATTTTTCTATGAACATTCATTGCAAATGATTTTACTATAAAAATTCATTGCAAGTGAATTTTCAATGAAAATGCATTTCAAAGTTATCCTAAACAGCAACTCTTGTACAGCCTTTTGTATCAATGTGGTTGTTCCCCCAGGGCTCTATACTTAGTCCTACTTTGTTTTTAATTTTCATTAATGACCTTCCTGATGACATCAGCTCTCAACTTGGAATCTACGCTGATGACACAGCCATTTACTCCTGTCTCAACAGCAAATTTGATAAGTTTGATAAGGTGCAAAACAACCTCAAGTCTGTTGTTAGCTGGAGCAAAAGATGGCTTGTTAATTTTAATACCTCCAAAAATTTAAATGCAATGTCAATCACTATCTACCCCTGATTACTCTTTTTGTTACTACTCATTAGTAATGTTTCTGTTTCTAATTCTTCCACATTCAGTAACCCCCACCCCATGTCTTAGTGGCTTTACTGCCTTGCATGAGGTGAAATTGATCAAAAATAAAAAAATAAATAAAAAAAGATTTTACTATGAAAATTCATTGCAAATGATTTTATTATGGAAATTCATTGCAAATGAATCTTACCATGAAAATGCACTGCAAGTGATTTTTAGTATGAAAATCACTTGTGATTGATTTTAGTTTAGGTTCGTTTATTGATTTTACAACATGTCAACCCTTGTTGGGTTATTTAATGTTGAATTTTGTATGTAGCACAAGTTTGAAAATTGAACTCACTATTTATTAGGAATGTTCAGCCAGAATAGTCTCACTCAACATTACCCCCCCCCCATGTACAGGAGACAATTTGCTTAGGTTAATAAATATCAAAATATATATGTTCTGTAGCTCTTTTGCAAAATCTAATTTAGAACATAGATAGATAGATAGATAGATAGATAGATAGATAGATAGATAGATAGATAGATAGATATGAACAAGCTTAGGTAGATAGATAGATAGATAGATAGATAGATAGATAGATAGATAGATAGATAGATATGAACAAGCTGAGATAGGTAGATATGAACAAGCTGATATAAAAAGATAGATAGATAGATAGATATGAACAACCTGAAATAGATAAATATGAACAAGCTTAGCTAGCTAGCTAGCTAGCTAGCTAGCTAGATAGATAGATAGATATGAACAAGCTGAGCTAGAAAGATAAATAAATACATAGATATGAACAAGCTGAGATAGATAGATATGAACAAGCTTAGATATATAGATATATAGATATGAACAAACTGAAATAGATAGATAGATAGATAGATATGAACAAGATGAGATAGAAAGATAGATAAATAGATAGATATGAACAAGCTGAGATAAAAAGATAGATAGATAGATAGATGTGAACAAGCTGAGATTTCTTTTTTGTTTTTTAATCATATTTACACCATGTAAAGCAGTAAAGCCACTAAGACACAAGGAGTTACTACATGTGAGAGAATTAGAAAGCAGAATCATTATTAAGGAACAAGAACAATAGAAGTGTAATTAGGAAGACAGCAGATAATGATTGACATTGCATTTAAAGTTTTGAAGATCAAAGTTGACAGGAAAGCAAGAAGCCGGAAGAGAGTTCCACAAGTGAAAATTGAGTGAGAACAATAGAAGAGTAATCAGGAAGACAGTAGATAATGGTTGACATTGCATTTAAATTTTTGAAGATGAAAGTTGACTGGAAAAGAAGATGCCGGAAGAGAGTTCTACAAGTGAAAATTGAGTGAGAACAATAGAAGAGTAATCAGGAAGACAGTAGATAACAATTGACATTGCATTTAAATTTTTGAAGATCAAAGTTGACAGGAAAGCAAGAAGCTGAAAAGAGTTCCACAAGTGAAAATCGAGTGAGAACAATAGAAGAGTAATCAGGAAGACAGTAGATAACGATTGACATTGCATTTAAATTTTTGAAGATTAAAGTTGGCTGGAATGCAAGAAGCCAGAAAAGAATTCCACATGAGAGAAATACAAGAAAAGAATCTGTTAGCATAAAACATATGTTTATGAATAGACTGAGAAAGACAGATAGGTAGGTAGATAGGTAGGTAATGAACAGATTGAAATGAAAATTAAAAAACTTAGGTAACTTAAATTGGTTGTGTTTATGATATAATGGCATATAATCGTTAACCATTACCCTATGCTGAATCACCCATCTCTAGAACTGATTATGTCAAAATTGTATAAGAACTATTTAATCTGATAATGTACACCATAAAATACTCTATCAATTAGAAAACTTAAAATAACAATCCTGTCTTAATTAGAAAAATAAAAATAAAAATTTGGTATCTGTCTATATTTCTGAGATGAGGTATTATGTACACTATTTACATTATTTGGACTGTTGTCCTCGTCTTTGTTGCCATATTTACTATCCTCAAGGACACATGACACAGTGGATAAAGGTGTTAGTTATATCCAGTGACAGGATCCAAAGAATGTGAGTTCAATACCAGGTTATGGCGGAGAACTTGGAGAGGGGAATTAACAGGATATAATTGATAACTGACATCCATTAGACATGGCACATGGAACCAGAACAGTCTACCTCAGTGAGTGAAATAAAGGGTTCAGTTTGACATTCCAACCACCTGAAGAGGGCTGGAGCATACAACAGGCAAAACATTGTAATAAATATGGCGACAAAGATGGGGACAATAGTCTGAATAATGTAAAAATTTGGTGTTAACCAATACCAATTTTTATTTTCCCAATCAATACCAGTTTTTATTTTTCTAATCAATACCAAATTTTATTTTTACTTTTCTTATACCACATTTTTATTTTTATAATCAATACCAATTTCTATTTTTCTAATAAATACCAAATCTTATTTTTATTTTTCTCGTCAATATCAAATTTTTATTTTTCTAATCAATATAAAAACATAATAAAATTTTGGTATTGATTAGAAAAATAAACAAAATATTTGGTATTGATTAGAAAAAATGTTATTGATTACAAAAATAAAATTTAGTATTGAATGACAATATGTAAAAATATATTTTTAATTTTGAGAACTCAGGGTTAAATGTGTCAATATTAAGTTTGCTATCTTGCTATTTATTTATTTACTCCTTAATATTCTATATATATATATATATATATATATATATATATATATATATATATATATATATATGAGTGTATATCCTTGCTTGAACTGGCTTCTAATGCTCTGGAGTGACCGACTTGGGGAAAGAAGACGTCGCTCTTGGGAACAAAATCCTTTGAGTTAAGTATACTCAGATGAGTTACACTATGGAACTTAGTGTGAGTGGCACTATATTGAGTCTAGTGAGTTACCTCTTCATCATTGAGGCCCGTTGGTCCAATGGGTATAGTGCTTGTATTGTATCAAAATAGTCTGGCTTCAATTCTTGGTAGTGGATGTGTACTGTTGATGTATCCCAAAATAGGATGAAACAGCTGTCCAGTGCTTTCTGTATTCTGCTGAGGATTCTTCTAGACTCAATGAAATATATATATATATATATATATATATATATATATATATTCAAAGAAATATATACATAGATACACACATATATATATATATATATATATATATATATATATATATATATATTTTATATTATATTTTCTATATACATGCTAGCTGTTGATTAATTCAGTGAGTATGATATTGCTGATAATTTGGACCCATGATTTTAGTTCTTGCTCTTGAAGCCAGCAAATAACTTGCAGTGCTTATTACAAACACAGAAAGGTTGTTCTGTACAGGGCCTGACCTGTTTTGTAAACTCTGTTCAAGTTGCTTGCATGTTTTCATATGATGGATGAGATGGAAAAAGTTTTTGCTGGTCTTCTGACACACCCCAGATATTAAGTTATTAATAATAAGGAGAGTGGATGCTGAAATTTTAAACATTTCAATTAAAATTGTTTTTCCTGAAAGTATATATATATATATATATATATATGAAGAAAAATATACAGAAAAACAAACAAAAATCCTAATATGCAATTATGCTGTTTTAATGTTAATATAATGTCAATGTCGGACGTTTCAGTCTAGTAGACTATCTTCAGGACATATTCATAAAACATAATTAACATTAGACTATATTCAATTCAACATGAAAAGATGATGGACATAAGAGTGAAGACTAATCAAAAGAGATAACTGAATTTTGTTTGTTTTTCCGTATATTTTTCTTCATACTGTTGGGATCTATATCCATATATTTGCTTATATATATATATATATATATATATATATATATATATATATATATATATATATATATATAGCTGCTTCTTCTTCTTCTTCTTCTTCTTCTCCCATCTTTGCATCCTCCTCCTCCTCTGCCCTTTCTATCACACCCAACATCATCCGTTTGTTTATTAATTTTTAAAAAATAATATAGCATTCATTAGTTTTTTTTAAAAATAAGTGTTGGGAGGTCAGTTGGTAAAAATTGCCTGATGATACCATAAGGTTGAAACCAAGGTGTGGGGGGTGTCAGAAGACCAGCAAAAACTTTTTTGAGTCCCAAATATAGGATGAAACGGACGTCCAGTGATTTCTGCATTCTGTTGAGGTTTCTTCTAGACTCAATGAATTACTTAATTATCATATTTATATATATATATATATATATATATATATATATATATATATATATATATATATATATATATATATAGTGTATTGGGGCAACAGATGATAATTGAAACATATATTAATAAATATAACAGTCAATGAATGTCTATTATGTTTTCTCATGAGCTGTTCTAAGCTTCATATAGTGGCTTTGGTTTTGGGAGAAAATAAAGACAAAAACAGTCCAAAATTTGGACAATTTTTAGTATGTTGTTCCACAATCTAAGCTTTTGGCTCACATGAGCCATTATCAGAGTAATGTAATTTCCATATAAACACTCTGATGATGGCTCATGTGAGCTGAAATTTTAGATCAAAGAATAGCATAATAAAAAAATATTTAAATGTTGGAGATTCATCTTGTTTGTAGTTGATGATATGATCTCGTTTGTAGTTTGTGATATATATATATATATATATTTTAAGACAAGGTTGAATTTACTAACCTTGCTAACTGAACGCTCCTCTGTGGCCAAATCGGTTAAAGGCATGTCAAGTTAAATGATGGTTCCGTATAGGATACAAGTTCGAATCCTGTCGGAGGACGAATATTTTCTGTGAAAATTTCTCGGACATTCAGGCCGGTAAATGTTGTTTAATACTGTTTATTATAAACACAGCATTTACCTAAATATTTGTATCTATAAAAAGAATGTATAGACATAAAAAATTGCTTAAAATAATTGTTGGACTTTGTCCATTTCATATATATATATAAGTGGACAGAGGTCAACATAATCTTCAGGCCATTGCCTGAAGCATGAAACAGACTGTCTCTGCTCTGTATTGACTGCAGTGTCCACTTTTATATTTATATTTAGATACCTTCTATCCCTGATATTGATCATTTTTAGTTTTACCCATAAAAATAGCATACCTTTTTTAAAACTATATTTTATCATATATAGGCAGTTTTATAGGTCTGTCTAGTTATAAAAATAGCATTTATTTTATACAAGAAATATTTATTTTTTGGCATAATATTTTATTTGCCAATTGTATTTAAATTTAAATCCCATAAGACAAACATTATACAGTGAATATTTCATGTCAAAATTCAGCTGTTAAACTGTGTTAAGCTACAAATTTATTGATCCACCTCGTATAAACACATGTTTGTGCAAATATATGCCTATTTTTTTTTTTTAGTACGATGAACACAAATGTAAGTAAAACACTATTGGGAACAATAGTTTAAAGTTAAGGTCGCAATTCATTGATCGCAGGTTCAATCTTCATAGGATTTTGCTTGCTCAGTTTGTGCTCACACATACACAGATATATCAGCACACACATCAACACACGCGCGCGCACACGTAGAACCATACAAACTAGTTAATCCTAATAAAATTTGATGTTGGTTGGCGCAGTAAATCGTTTCCCGAATTTCGCTGATGCCATTCAATTGATTTTTTTTCCTCCTCTTCTTCTTCTTCTTTATTGCCTCCCTTATGTTGGAAAATGGCGTCGAAGCTTCGAGAGTTTCTCTACCTGGGATCTGAGCGAACTTTAACTCTTCAGCGGTATGTACCCACCTCTTCTCTCTTTTTCCGACTAGAATCGAAGCCCAAGGGTTTTGCTAACACGTACGGTCAGTTTTTCAGCGATTTTCTTCTCGCATCGAATGTCAGATATTTTTTTTAATCTCTTTCTTCAATGGATTCTCTATTCTCTTCATCTCCGCGTAGTTTTTCGCAGTTCTAAAGAAACGAGCGCAGCATCAT